TTAGTCTGGCCGGTCGCAGACAGCGTGGCGCCCCCTCGCCCGCCGCCCACGAAGCCCAAACCCTGCCCGAGGAAAGAGAAAGACAGAGTAAAAGGTGCGGGAAGCAGGTGAAGATAGAGGAAGGGAGATATGAAAGAGAAAGAGAAGAGAGAGAGAGAGAGAGAGAGAGAGAGAGAGAGAGAGAGAGAGAGAGAGAGAGAGAGAGAGAGAGAAAGAGAAAGAGAAAGAGAGAAGAAGAGAAAGAGAAGAGAGAGAGAGAGAGAGAGAGAGAGAGAGAGAGAGAGAGAGAGAGAGAGAGAGAGAGAGAGAGAAAGAGAGAGAGAGAAAGAGAAAGAGAAGAGAAAGAGAAAGAGAAAGAGAAAAGAGAAAGGAAAGGAAAGGGAAAGGGAAAGGGAAAGGGAAAGGGAAAGGGAAAAAAAGGGAAAGGGAAAGGGAAAGGGAAAGGAAAAGGAAAGGGAAGGGAAAGGGAAAGAAGAAAGAGAAAGAGAGAGAGAGAGCACCAGCCAAACGCGAGGGCCGAAGGACCAAACAAGCCACCCAGCGCCTTTCAGACCTCGTGCCAGGCGTCATGGCTTGTCCTCGGTCCACACAACCACAAACGCAAACACAGACAGCCAGGCAGACAAACACGCCCAGCGGCGCCGACGGGCCGGCCAGGCCGCCGCAGCCAGCCCCGCCGGAGGTCGCGGCGGGGAGGCCGCCGTCCTCCAAACCAGCCCTCGCCCATGAAGAAAAAAATAATGCCATCGCGCGGAGGCTCGAATGACCCGCCGCCGAAAGGGCGCGGCGCCAGACTGCGGGACGCCGCCGGTGCCCGGAGGCGCTCGTGGGGGATGAAACGTCTGTGCAGATGCAGAAAGAGAGAGTGCGGGAGGAAAAGAGGAGGAGAGGAAGGAAGGATAGAAAGCAGGAAGGGAGAAAGGGAAGAAGGGAGGGACATATAGATAATTAGATAGATAGATAGAGAGAGAGAGAGAGAAAGAGAGAGGCGGCTTAATCAGAGAAAGACAGGACAGACATTTAGACAGGTAGACAGACAGACAGATTGCCGAGAGACTCTCCAGACACAAAAACACTAACTCCCAAACACACCAAAAACAAAATCAACCAAACCCGCACCGGCAAAAAAAAAAAAAAAAAAAAAAAAAAAAAAAAAAATCGCACTCACCGCAAACAAAAACAACACAAACAAAAACACGGAGAGAGAGAGAGAGAGAAAAAAAACGCGCTCATCCGTCATTCATGATATGCGGGAAACCGGTCCTCTGGTTGCACGGATGAATGCAACAATTTACTTTATTGCTCGTTTGCCCCTCCGTCGGACCGTGCAACCGGAAGAATAAAGGAATGCGATCGGTAATTTTGAATAGATTACAAATGAGGTGATGATTGATGTTTGCTGATGGTGATTAATGGTTCTTGACGGTGGTGGTGGTGACGATGATGATGATGGCGATGTTCATGACGATAACGACGATTTAATGACGATGATGATGATGATGATGACGATGACGATGATGGTGATGACGATAACGACAATGTTCATGACGATGATGATGATAACGACGATGTTAATGACGATGATGATGACGATAACGACGATGTTAATGATGATGATGATGATGATGACGATGACGAAGATAACGATGATGATGACGACGATGACAACGACAATGCAGTTATTTAATACCACGGGGAGAGTTCAACGCGGTGCCAACAAATGATCCGCAAATTCGAATCGATAGCTAGCCAATTCAATATTCATTCGCAAAAAAAGTAGAAAAATAAATAAACAAATCCATTTCCTTATCGCCACAGTGCATCCTTCGGGGACTGCTCATCGCCCTTCAAGAAAAGATTTCATCGAGCAAAGAAACTAGCAAATTCAACAAATAAATTCCTCAGGACCAGCTACTCGCCCCGTTCCAGCACCTTGTCAATGCGAACGACCATTCAGCGCGGGCCAAGGCAGCGACGGTGCGGGGGACGCCAGAAGGGAAAATACCAAAATAAGCAAATATAAAATACAAATGAATTAAAGCGCAAACAAACACACAAACACACACACACACACACACACACACACACACAC